CTCTCGCCCAGACTGGAGTGCAGTGGCCGCTCCCAGCCACTGCAGCCTCGACTGCTGGGCTCCAGCAATCCTTCCGCCTCAGCCTTCCAAGTAGCTGGAACTACAGGCGCACACTACCACATCTGGCTAATTTTTTTTTATTGTAGAGATGAGGTCTTGCCAAGTTGCACAGGCGGGTCTCGAACCCGTGGGCTCAGGCAGTCCACTCACCTCAGCCTCCCAAAGGCACGGGATTACAGGCTGAGCCACCGAACCCGGCTGTCTTGAAGACTTTTAAGCAGGGAAGTGAGCTGTCAGTGAGAATTAAGAAAGTAGAGCTATTATAGATGTCTCCAGATTCAAAACACAGTTGGAAGTTTATGGTATGAAGTCACGAAATACATCTATTAGGCTGCGACAGGCTTTTGTACTATTGTTCCTGAAAGAGATATGTTTTGGATATTGCCAAAAGCTGTATTGGGATACTGTAGAGCAGGACATTGAGAAAAAGCAACATACTTTTTCCAGAACCCCACAAGTCATTTTATAGAAAGAATGAAGAGTTTTAAATGACCAGAGGGGAGTCAGCGAATGAATTACTCTACTAAGCTTCAACTTAATCATCATTAATACATAAGTATTAACAGATCTGTCGGATGTGGGCTCTGATAGCCCCAGAATACTCAGTGGCATTTATCTTAATTAGAAAAGCATTTCGTTGTATGGCTTTCTCAATGGAGTTTTGTTTTTCTCATCCAACAGGCTGGTTTTGGTTATGGATTGCCCATATCACGTCTTTATGCACAATATTTCCAAGGAGACCTAAAGCTATATTCCTTAGAGGGTTATGGGACAGATGCAGTTATCTACATTAAGGTAATAACTGTAGTCTTCTTGATTTACTGATGATCTTTTTGATGATGAGAAAAGATGCCAATATTTAACTATAATGAAATTCAACTCTACCTCATGCTGTTCAATGTTAAAAATCACACCTCATCAACAAGGGTATCTGCATAATCACCGTTTGTGTACCTAACCCTAAATTGTACCCCACATCTTTAAAATTAAAAATTTAAAAAAAAAAAATCTAAAAATGTGTTTTTTACATGGGATCTTGTTCATTTTGACAGATGGTCCCCTCAACTATGGGAAAAGAAGCATTCTTATCTGTCATGATTAAGACTGTGGTTAATAGGAAAAAAGTTGGGTTAAAGTAGAGAGTTATAAAAAGTCATGTGTCATACAAATTTAATTTTAATATAAAACACATGAATGGACATTGATCTGCCTTTCTTTTGATGTACTGCCAAGGCCTTTTCTTTGTATATGGGTCTGGAGATTGGAATGTTATATTGTCTTTCTTACAGAAGCCATATTAATTTCTTTCAACAAAGAAACAAGCAAGTGCATAATTCTTTTTTTTTTTTTTTTTTGAGTCAGAGTCTTACTCTGTCACCCAGGCTGGAGTACAGTGGCATGCTCACGGCCACCCCAGCGTTGACCTGCTGGGCTCAGGCAATCCTTCCACCTCACAAGTAGCCGGAACTACAGACGCACGCTACCATGCCCGGCTAAATTTTTGATTTATTGTAGAGATGAGGTCTTGCCAAGTTATCCAGGTTGTTCTCAAACCCGTGGACTCAGGCAATCTTTTCACCTCAGCCTCTCTAAGTGTCTAAGTGCTGGGATTACAGGCTTCGGCCACCATGCCCGGCCCATAATCCTTTTTAATTCAATCCTTTACAGATGTCTTCTGAATTGACAGCAAATTTTATGTGACTTTCCTTCATGAGCCTTTCCTAAACATTCCTTTTAGTATTCAAAGAAACATCCTTTTTTGTTCTTTGTTTATGTAATACTTAATTAAATTTTGTCATTATGATGACAGATGTAATGGCATAAACAGACTTGGGACCAAGCACAGGTGTATTTTGGTGAGCATATAGCTTGCCTGGTGGGAGCAGAGGCACTTAGCTTACTGATCTGGAGTGTTCAATGTGGTAAGGGGGATCAGTGTATTTTACAGGGATGGAAGAAGCACTGAGTCCTATCATTCCATTTAGTTGGTTAAGTGGGACTGATGGTGCCGAATTATTTAGTGATATGAGTTTCTTATTTTGGCCACTAGATGGCACCTATTTTATAGGAAGTACTGAAGAATTTATGTTGGAGGCATTTATCTGAAAAAATAGCTGAACTTTTTTCTAGATTGCCATGTCAGTTGTGAGGAACTAAAAAAGGGCAACATCAATGCAATATTTTTATCACCAAATGTAACATTTTGATCTAGCCTAGATCAAGAAATTCTGCACTATTTAAATAAAATATATAGGTAAAAGGTTTTTAGTTCCATTTTAGAAAAAATAGAAGACAAAAAGTCTTACAGAATCATGAAAATCATCAACATAAAAGACCTTACTTAGCATTAACAGAAAGAAATTTCTGGTTCAATATTTCCGACATCTTGGTAAATGCCTATGACCTGAGGTTGAAATTCTATGGAAAAATTCTAACTTGAGGGAGATAACAAGGAATATGGTTTATCTCAGGTTCCATTATTTACAAGAAGCTGAAACAGAAGAGAGAATTAATGGTAATGATTTGTGGGAAACATGAAATCATGCATTATGCAGAGATCATGTGTGCTGTGACTGAAATTGGAGGTAGGAGAAGACACAGGATCAAAGCCAGGGCCAAGAAATGGTCATGCAAAAGCCAAGATGCCTTAGACATAGTTTTTTTTTTTTTTTTTGAGTCAGAGTCTCACTCTTGTCACACAGGCTGGAGTGCAGTGGCACACTCATGGCCACTGTAGCCTCAACCTGCTGGGCTTAGGTGATCCATCTGCCTCAGCCTTCCAAGTAGTTGGAACTACAGACACATGCCACCATGCCCGGCTAGTTTTTGTGATTTATTGTAGAGACACGAGGTCTTAACAAGTTGCCCAAGCTGGTCTCGGACCCCTAGGGTCAGGCAATCTTCTCGCCTCAGCCTCCCAAAGTGTTGGGATTACAGGCTGAGCCACTGTTCCTGGCTTAGACATAATTTGTATTTATTGGTAATAGTATTGTTATGATGAGTTTTATTTTTCAATCTATTTTTATTCTTTTCTTTTTTTTTAGAGACAGATTAGATTGCAGTAGTACAATCATAGCTCACTGCATCCTGCTCAGGCAATCTTCCTGCCTCAGTCTCTGAGTGACTGGGACTAGAAGCACATACCACCATCCCCAGCTAATTTTGAAATTTTATATAGAGACAGGGTCTTGATATGTTACCCAGGCTGGTCTTGAACTCTAGCCTCAAGTGTTCCTCACACCTCAGCCTCCCAAAGTGCTAGAATTATGGGTGTGAGCTACTGTACCTAGCCTGTTGTAATGAGTTTTAAAAGTATAATAGTGATACCAAAAAAAATTAGTATTTCATCTAGTAAATAATTAAAATAGGTTTAATTATATCTGTGTGCATATATGAAGGTACATATGTCAATTTTTAAACTTTTACATCTAACTGACTTTCAGTTTACCATCTTTTGGGCTGGTCTTGTTTTGTGTAAAATTTCAATTCAGAAGCTTCCAGGATGGCTGGGGAATTACTACATGCAACAAACTGAATTAACATGCTCATCAGCCAGTGCCATGGATTTAATAAATAACACATTTCAAAAATATACACTATTTAAAAATGTATTTAGATGGTATTTTGATTAATAAGATACCAATAGAGTATTCATTTGTGGCAACCTTTTTGCCATTGTCTGTTTTCTCAAATAACGAATTCTAAAAAATGTCAGACTTTTAGGTCCTGCTTTTTTTTTCAGGCTCTGTCAACAGACTCAATCGAAAGACTTCCAGTGTATAACCGGGCTGCTTGGAAGCATTACAACACCAACCACGAAGCTGATGACTGGTGCGTTCCCAGCAGAGAGCCCAAAGACATGACCACATTCCGCAGTGCCTAGATACTCTTGGGACAGCTGGAAAATCCAAATGCGATTTTGTTGAATTTGGAAGGGATGGTGTTCAGATCTATATTATACCAAATACCTTGTGTGTCATTTTCACAATTAACTATTTGGGTAGAATAAATGGAAACTGAATTCCATTTGTGCCTGTAAGCCTCCTAAAGGATGATATTGCACCTATTTACACTTATATTTTCACAGTTAATTGAACATATTTTTAAACAACTGTAGTTTTGGTCAACTTTTTAGACTTCAGAAGTCTGGAAGTCTTTGGGTTTCTATAGGAAACTAGGTTTTTGGTGTTTTTTTTTTTTAAGAAAATACTTTTCATTTCTGTCTGCTAGAAACGTTTTCTAAATAATACTTACTAGCTGGTTAGCCATCTTCCTGATATTTGAAGGAATTCTGCCATCCTTTATTTGGTAGTGACAGCTGTAATCAAATGGTCTTCATGTCTACCAGTGAATTATCACAAATAAAACAGAAAACAGTTGTCCTGTAAGCACAGAACCAGAACCTTTCAACATCTGTGTGCATTGTCTTAGCTCTGAAGTTAATTTATCATTTTTAAATTTTATTGTAAAGGAGTGTAACAACTAGTTCTTTATATGGATCTGTGCCAAGATCATGGACAGTCCATTCTCAGCGTGCTTGTGATTAATGCAGGGGGAAATCATTATACTGCCAATAAACTAGCAGCTGTTAAAATAGAGAAGAAATTGAAGGCAAAGCAGTGAGTCCTCAAAACAGAACTAATCGATTATTGCAATTACCTGAGAAGCTTTTGAAAAAAGTAGAGTTTTTCTGGGTCCTACTCCACACATACTGACTCTAGAATCTCTAGGGCTGGAGCCTAGGATTCTCAGTTTTAAAAATGCTTCCCAGGTGAATCTCATGCCCAGCCCAGTTAGGGAACCACCCTTTTAAAGTTAATAGTAATGATGCAACATTTGCTAAAATAACAGAGGGATCTTTAGATTTTGGTTGTCACTTATTTTAAAGGTCAGATTTGTAGATTCTAGGAAAGAGAAACAGAATCTCAGGCCTGGTGCAATTAGAAGCAGAAGGACAAAATGATTACAGTAACCAAAGGGTCAGAGCCATAAATGTGCAAGTCTTGACAATACATATTTTCTAAAAATATTCAGATTTTCTTATCAGTGGAAAGTCAGCTTAGGTTCATCAGAACGATCCTTTGCATTCAAATGGTGATTTGTAGATTACAAATACTCGGATGTATATGACTAACTCTGTTCTTTGAATCAAAGCGATACAACACAAGTAGCTTCATCCTCATTTTCAGAGTGTGACCCAGAGTTGCTCAGAATTGGAGCCAGAGTCTAGGCTGTATCCATCCTCTGAGCATGGCATCCACTGGCAAGCCTGGGAGACTGTGAAGCATAGAGACCCACAGTCTGGAGACTGTGTTGTTAGTCACACCTCGTCTTCTTTTAAGGTGGCAGAGAAGTATATTGAAAATAGATTTTGAAGTGAAAACTTAAAAGTTTTTGCCAACTTAACTGGGGGGAGCTTTATCTGGAAAATACGTTGAGTTGAAACACTTCATTCTTGAAAGAATGATGTAAGAGTAACAATTCTGTGTAAATGTATACATTGGAAAAGGTGTGGAGGGCAGTTAGCTCAGTGCTCTCTCTTGTGAGAGAAGAGGATCCTGGGACTCAGGGGATGTGTCGTTTGCTTAGGACTCCTGGGCTCCTTATCTAATCTGACCAAGTATTGGAAGAACGATATCTTACCTAACCAGTTCCTTAATTATGGATTTTGTCACAAACAATATAATATGTTAATGGGTGATTTCTGTTAGTTCAGGGTATTACAATTTTTTTAGCTTTAAATTACACTTTTTTTGTAATGATGAAATGTTTTAGAATCCTTTGAATCTTGGTATTCTCTTTCTTTCCTAAATGAGACCTTTGTACAACTAACATAAATTTGATGTTTTTACTTAGGAAATATTCTCCCCCTGCCAAGAAAAAATTTTTCCCTCTATTTAAGAGCTAAGAAATGGTATTTTAAAGAAAAAGTGAAGTTATTTTCTTTTAGCTTATTTTTAAGGTGTAACAGCTTTTTACTCTGTTATTGTGGTAATGGACAGAAAATTACATACAAAAATATTCTGAGAGCGCTTTCTCCTAGTTGGTTTTAAATCATTGTGCTACTTGACAGGTTTTTAGATTTTACAGAAGCTATTTTGTCCACCAGCAGTAATGTGACACGATGTAGTTATAAAAATATGTAGAAGGACAAGAAGTGGATACTAAGTGATTTTTATAACCTGGGCAGTTAATGAATGTGGCCATCGTTTTCCAGGAAAGGACAGCAAGAATATTCTGCCCTATACTTAAAATACTGGCTGGCTTTTGATGACTTCATACGTAATAGTGATCACTTTCTTGCACTATGAAGTTTTTACATGAAGATTTTGAAATGGAAGTCTATTATATTATAAACTGTCTTCTGTATGGCAGTAAACTGAAAACGTGGATCAACTCTTATTTTGAAGATAAATTGAGTCAATTTAGGTTTTTAAAACTATAATTATGTCTTTTAAATAGGAAGCCTCTTCTGTCATCAAGGCTCAACATTCTGTAAGCATTCAAAAATTGTAGCCAGGTCACCACTTGAACTAAATTTCATCATCATCAATAGAGGAACTGTTTGGAACTTAGATGTCCAGTGTGTGTGTTCTAATGAGGAGAGCAAGAGGTGGAGTTTATATGGTTTGAGTTATGCTAGATTTTCATTATCCAAACATACCATAGCTGATTGACTTACGGCATAAATGAATATCTGTTGTATGATTTTGAAAGGCTGTAAATAAACTGGAAGTTTGAATAACTTTCCATAGCATAAGTAATTGAAACAAAAGTCTTACTTTAACCAGCACTGCCCTCTATTTGCACCAGTTAAATGTCAGAACTAAATTACAGACAGATTCCTGTCGTATTTCTAATTGATAGGATATAGGCACTGCAACTTCCCTTCATTGTTGAAGCCAGCAAGCTCCATAACACAACTCCAGAGGTAAAGAACGGGAAACAAACTTAGTTTCATGGTCCCGCTGTGATTCTGTGAGTGTCTAATCAGAGAGGAAGTCAAATCAGCCAATTGCTGTTTATGTCTTCCGTTGTGACCCAAGTATGAAGATTCAGCAGATGGGTAATCAGGGTTAAGTAGTTTGTAAACACGCCTTTTGTTGGAGGAACTTTTAATCATATATGATTAACTTCTGGTCCCAATAATTAATTTTCTTACAGTCAGACCTAATGCACTTGAAAAATAATACAATTAGTGTTGCATGAAGGATTTTTTTGCATGTTAAAAAGAACACATTACTAGTTTGCTTAGTTCTAGCATTCACAAACTGTGCCTTCTGCTCTATTTACATGTTTGGAAAGAAGACTTAAGCATATTGTAGTGCCCCCTTTTTCTAGAGTCTTCAGTACTTTAGCAGTTGTTGTTCATCGGAGGTTTTTTTTTTTTCAAGTCGGAGTCTCACTCTGTTGCCCAGACTGGAGTGCAGTGGCTGCTCCCGGCCACCGCAGCCTCGACCTGCTGGGCTCCGGCGATCCTTCCGCCTCAGCTTTCCAAGTAGCCGGAATTACAGGCATGCGCTACATGCCCGGCTGATTTTTTGATTTATTGTACAGATGAGGTCTCGCTGCCCAGGCGGGTCTCAAACCCACGGGCTCAGTCAATTCACTCACCTCAGCCTCCCAAAGACACGGGATTACAGGCTGAGCCACCAAGTCCAGCTCATCGTAGGTTTTTAATAGCAAAAGACAAGATTGCTAGTTTTTGATGCAAAACTCTAGTCTTTTTAGTTGACTTGAAAAAACTTATTTATATTGGAAACAGTGACAGCTACCTTTTTCTTTGTTAAATTAGAGATTCCTGAGCAAAAATATAACAGTTTACCTGGGTAAGGTAAACTTTGATGTGAGGATTATCTTCATTCAGGGGTTCTTTTTTTTTTTTAGTGCCATTTTCATTTAATAAGCCAATAGTAGAGCAATTTAGAGACCTTGGCTATGATGACACCAGTATATTTTTATGGTATTGCTGTAGGAAAACATTGGCATTAGGATATCCTCTGGCTCACAGAACCCACTTCTCAGAGACCCAAGGTTAGGGAGTGTAGCAGAGGTATTTCTTGCCAGATGGGAGCTCTTTGGTGAAGACTCCTTTAGGGAAAAGTTTTTTGGCTTCCTCTTCAGGGATGGTTGGAAGAACCATCACACTATCTCTGTCCTTCCAATCAACTGGGGTGGCAACTCTCTTTTCCGCTGTCAGCTGGAGAGAAATGACTACCCTGAGAATCTCATCAAAGTTCCTGCCAGTGGTAACCCGGTAGAGGATGGACAGCTTCAGTTTCTTATCAGGACCAAAAATAAACAGCACCCGAGCTGTCACAGGCATGCCCTTTTCATCCTTCTTTGCTAGGTCCAGCATGCCAAGCAGGATGGCAAGGTCCCGATCCTTATCATCGATGATGGGAAAAGGTAATTTTTCTGTGGACTCATTACCATTGTAAGCATTGATATCCTTATTCCAGGCAAGATGATCCTCAACACTGTCTATTGAAAGGGCAATCAATTTAACATTCCTCTTGGCAAATTCTGGCACCAGCTTTGCAGCTCTGCCAAGTTCTGTGATGCACACTGGGGTAAAGTCCCGAGGATGGGAGAAGAGGATGCCCCATTAGTCTCCCAGAAAGTCGTGGAAGCGGATGTGGCCGACGGTGGTATCGGCTTTGAAGTTGGGAGCCGTGTCCCCGAGAAGCAGTACCCCGGGCATGACGGCAGCGGCGACAGGACCGAGAAGCTCTCCATTCAGGGGTTCTTTTCCAAGAATCTGGAAGTACACTTCTGCAGTTGTCATAGGTAATATTGTCAGAAATGATGTAGTTTTGATTGAAATGTTACCATCTACTTATTAGTTGAAAATACTGAAAAGTTTTTTTTTGTTGTTGTTTTTAAGGAAACAGTTTATGAGGCTAGGACATTTTAAAATGTCCATGGTGTTGTACTTAGATATCTCTCATTATGAGATTCAAGATGTAGCAGTTATAGTACTGTATGAAAATACTCACCATAGAGTTATACAGTTAGAGCACTGTATGAAAATACAGTATGGTTGAAAAAATTTGTCCAAAAATGTACTCCAGAAATGGAACCCATATGATTATATAACTATGAAATAGAATGAGAGAGGAAAAATATTTCTCTGCATTACAGTATAAAAACATGATTTAATATAAACTGTTTCTTTACTTCTATTTATTCTCAGTATCTCCTCCAATGCCCAGTATATAGTAGGTGCCTATAATTGTATGTTCAGTAAATGCATAATGAATAATTAATTTAATAACATTTCTTGTGCCCATTCTCAAAATGATACCCTAAATATGTGTCGATACTACAGCAAAGCTATGGATAGCAACCAACACAAGAACAGCTAGCAAAAGGATGAAATACAGAAGAAAATGACTGGGTTAGTTAGATTAGGTAAACCGCAGCCACAGAAGTAACTGGCTGGTGGAAGTCCCTTGATGAAGGCTTTATGGGCTGCAGCAGAGGGGACACTTCCAGACTAACTCCTAGCAAGGACTAATCAGGAAAGGAAAAGGCCTGTGTGAACAGTATTTAGATAAAAACAATTTAAAAATATCTAAATAGAGATTTAAAATAATCATAAGAATACCCTTGATGACAATTTTGAAAATATAGAAGGGATTGTTATATTTCTAGAAAACAAGTATTACCAAGATTCATCTAAAATTTTGACAATTTAAATCAACCAGTAACCCACTAAGGAAATGGAATCAGTAATCACAATTCTATCTTACCAAAAGACAAGTTTTAAAAGGTGAATTTTACAAAAACATCAAGAAACAGAATAGAAAAGAGAGGAAGCCACCCAACCGATTTTTAAAAAAGTAAAATCTCCTTTGGGAGGCCAAGGCAAGTGGGTTACCTGAGCCCGAGGGTTTGAGACCAGCACGGGCAACTTGGTGAGACCTCATCTCTACACTAAATTAAAAATTATCTGAGTGTGGTAGCGCGCACTCCCGTAGTTCTAGCTACTTGGAAGGCTGAGGCGGAAGGATCGCCGGGGCACCGCAGGTCGATGCTGGAGTGACCATGAGTGTGCCACTACACTCCAGCCTGGGCAACAAAATGAGACTCCAACTCAAAAAAAAAAAAAAAAAAAAAGTAAAATCTCAAAGTTACACCTGAACAAGGACAGATCCATCTTGTTTTATGAACATATGACAGGAGACCCAAAACCCGGAATTATCTTTTTGGAGGACAGGCCCCTTGTAGTACAGGCTTCTCCTGCTTGGTATGTGTTCTAGGAACCCATGGGCATCAGTGTATCAGCCAGCATTATTGTGAGAGGCTGCGTTTGACTTCAGTGAATTTTATTTGGAGATCAGTGCATTTGCCCATTTCATGATGGGTGATTTACAAGCACACCTGCCCACTCCGTGCTGAGTGTGTTCAGCAGTTTTTGACCAAAAATAGCATCACCCCGGTACCCTACCCTCCCTATTCAGGCAGTTTCCTCCCGAGCAACTTTTCTTTGCTTCCTTAAAGAAAAGTCCCAAAAGAGAAACATTTTATTGATGTGAAAAAAGTTAAATAGCAGAAGCACTAAAGGCATCAAAATTGATGAGTTCGAAAACTGTTGTTAGCAGTGGAAAAAGCATCTCAATGGGTGTATTGCATCAAATGAAAAGTACTCTGAAGGTGACCGAAGTTTAAACATGTAAGAATAAATACACAATTTTCTATAAATAAATTTGGCTTTCTGGGTCCCTCCTCTTAGATGGGAAAATTGCCAATAAAATATTGCCATATTGAATGTAAAAGTTTATAAAAAATAATGCATCATGAGCCTAGGAGGATTTTCCTAGGAAAACAAGGATTTTTTTTTTTTTGAGTTGGAGTTCACTCTCTTACCCAGGTTGGAGTGCAGTGGCACGTTATGGCTGCCGCAGCCGCAGCCGCAGCCTCAGCCTTCCAAGTAGCAGGAACTACAGGCATATGCCACCACATCCGACTAATTTTTTTGATTATTTTAGAGGCCAGGTCTCTCCAAGTTGTCCATGTGGTCTCAAACCCCTGGACTGAGGCAGTCCTTTCACCTCTGCCTCCTGAGGTTCTGGGATTACGGCATGAGCCACTGTGATTGACCGGATGTTTTAATATCTAAAAATCTATGTAATTTATGTCAGTACAGGTTAAAGGGCAAAAATCATATGATCATGTCAACAGAGCTAGAAAATTTGATATTATTTTGGATACAGTTTTTTTGTACTTAAAAGTGATTAGCTCAAATATAGACCGTTATTGGATGTTGCAATAAACCTTGAATGGTGGCAGATTTAAAACAAATTTACTAGGATTGTCTTTTGACTTGCCCATGTCTGCTCTGCCATGGAAAATTTGATTAGTACTGTGTCCAGTGTGTCACCATTTGCCAGGTGTTATAAATATTCTGGGTAAAAATTGCTGGTCTAACCAATCCTCCTGCTAATTCCAACTTAATACTTTGAATCATGGAAAAAAGGAACACCTGATTTCTTTATGTTTGAGTACACAAGACTTATAAAAGGGCCTAGTGTTTTTGACAAGCACATTTATTTGATAAAGTGTTGCCTTTCTTGCTCTGGAGTGGCAAAACTTCCTTTGCAGAAAAGATCTTGTTCATCTCAAAATAAACTCTCAGTGGCTGGGCGCAGTGGCTCATGTCTGTAATCCCAGCACTTTGGGAGGCGGAGGCGAGAGGATTTGCCTGGACCCAGGGTTTCAAGACCAGCCTGGGCAACTTGGCAGGACCTTGTCTCTACACTAAATAAGAAACTTAGTCGGACGTGGTGGCATGCGCCTGTAGTTCCAGCTACTTGGAAGGCGGAAGTGGAAAGATCGCCTGAGCCCAGCAGGTTGAGGCTATAGTAGCCATGAGCGTGCCACTATACTCCAGCCTGGGTGACAGAGTGAGACCAACTCAAAAGGACAAAAACCAAAAACCAGCTCTCAGTAACCAACACACGCAATGAATAGGAACAACTACCAATTAGGAAGCGTCAAGTGGTGACTCATTTTCTGTGGTGCACAGCTGACTTTGATTGTTCCTCTTGGGTCAGGGGATAGCTTTACAAAGACTTATTTAACCAGTGGGAAAGTAAGGTTAAATTTTTGTAAGCAGCACTTTTCAAATTTTATGTGCATACAAGTCACCTGGGAATCTTGAGAAAATGCAGATTCTGGTTCATCAGGTCTGGAGTGTGACCTGAAATTCTGCATTTCTAACAAGTTCCCTGGTAATATTAATGCTGCTGACCCGTGAACCATACTTTGGGTAGCAAGGGTCTGAGGGTTGTGAGGTAAACTGCTATCAGCAGCTCAAGGGACCAACTGGGCATGTGAGAATAGTTGCAGTGTGTGTGAAGAGCCAAATCTGAAAAAGGATAGGAAAGATCCATTCCTGATATCTAGGGTACTTGGTGGGTATGCCCATGACCTTGAGATCCAAATCCCATTAGTTAACTCATCTTTGTGAAATCTGAGTTTTAAGGATCTTAGGCAGTGGAACATGTAACTATGGAAGTTCTGACAAGTGGCTAAGGCAAGGAGGTGATAGCCATGTGTAATGCTTATTTCTGTACCATTTCAGGGAAGGGTCTGGGAAGATGCCAGGAAACTTTGGTGCGTAATGAGAGCTTCACTAACCTTACTGTCTGCTCCAGGAAACAAGCAGAGTCTTATGGCAGTGGGAAGCATGGACCCAAGACTGAAAGCTCTGGCACTTAGAGCAGTGGTAGGTAGAAAGGACTTAGGATAGCCCCTTACAGCAAGGCTTAAGTGATTTTCTCTGGTGAATGTTGACATGGATACCAATTGACTTTGATGTGACCTGCCTGGATCTAGTCTTGGAAAGTAGACCCACATCAACATTCACTTTACGAGACTGGGTAAATAGAGACCTCTTATACCTGTGAGAGGAAGCCTCAACACATTTCGTTATTAATGTTTTGCAATAATCTAGCAGGTAACTGTAGTAATTTGCCATAATCTAATACATGAATGTATTGTATGGGAGACTACTGAGGGTATAGTAAAGGAGAGTCTGTTTATAATTTGGTGAAGCGGATGCCCCGTCACTATTAATGGACAAAGAGAGTAACATTTATATCTAGAAAAATTTTGCTGAAGTTTTGTGGTGGGTGATGTGTTAACTCTCTAGACCAATTTGAAGATTTATTTTTATTTAATTTTTGAGTCAGAGTCTCTCTGTCATCTAGGCTGGAGTGCAGTATCAAGCTCATGGCCACCATAGCCTTGACCTGCTGGGCTCAGGTAATCCTTCTGCCTCAGCCTGCCAAGTAACTGGAACTATAGGTATGTGCCATCATTACCAGCTAATTTGAATTATAGCAGGGATGAGGTCTCCAAGTTGCCCAGGCTGGTCTCGAACCCTGGGCTCAGGCAGTCTTCTTGCCTCTGCCTCTGAAAGTGTTGGGATTACAGGCATAAGCCACTGTGCACAGCCCAATTTGAGGAAAATTTATATCTTAATTTTGAGCCTTTTCACTAATGAACATAGTGAATATCTGCATTTATGTTGCCTTTGATTCTTTTCATTAGTGTTTTATTTTCAGATTATAAATCCTGCACATATTTTATTACACTTACACCTAAGTATTTCAGTTTTTGAAGCTATTATGAATGCCCTTTTTTTTTTAAGTTGGCGTGTCACCCTGTCGCCCAGGCTGGAGAGCAGTGGCGCACTCATGGCCACTGCAGCCTCAACCTACTAGGCTCAGGCAATCCTTCCACCTCAGCCTTCCATGTAGCCGGAACTACAGGCACATGCTACCAACCTTGGCTAATTTTTTTGATTTATTGTGACAACGAGGTCTCGTTGAGTTGCCCAGGCTGGTCTCAAACCCCTGGGCTCAGGCAATTCTCTCCCCTCTTCTTCCCAAGGTGCTGGGATTACAGGCTTGAGCCACCATGCCCGGCCTATAAATGTTCTTTTAAAAAACGTTTTGGAGCCGGGCTTGGTGGCTCAGCCTGTAATCCCGTGCCTTGGGAGCCTGAGGTGAGTGGATTGCCTGAGCCCGCGGGTTCGAGACCCACTTGGGCAACTTGGTGAGACCTCATCTCTACAATAAACCTAAAAATTAGCCAGTTGTGGTAGCGCGCGCC